CTGCATGTGAGTCTGTGTCTTTTGTTCAGTCTGTGTTATGTGTTTCCTGTTTTACTTTGAAGGTCTCTGTCTTATCTCAGTGTGTTCAGTTTATGCTTCCTTGTCTCGTCAGTTCTGATTTGCCCCAGCTGTGTTTCCCTCCTGTTGTCCATTCCCTGATTGCTCCCTCTATGTATTTAAGCCCTGTGTTTCAGTTTGTCATTGTCGCAATCTACCCTTAGTTTGCTGTGTGTTCTGTCTGTGTAAAGTTTACCTTGGAGTCTCAGTTTTGTTACTTTTTTGGAGTTCAGCATTAAAGCTGTATTTAAGTTCACCTTTGATTTCTGTGAGTCTGCATTTTGGGTCCTTCATATCACCACCCCTGCGTGCACACAGCCTTCACATAACAATCTGGTGATATCTATGAGTTCAAGACTTCAGGCTGTCATTGCCAGCAAAGGGTTTTCAACCAAGTATTAGAAATGAACATTTTATTCTCAGTTATTTAATTTGTCCAATTACTTTTGAGGCCCTGAAATGAAGGGATTGTGCTAAAAAATGCTTTGGTTTCTCACATTTTTATGCAATCTTTTTGTTCAACCCACTGAATTAAAGCTGAAAGTCTGCACTTCAACTACATCTGAGTTGTTTCATTTAAAATTCATTGTGATATTTTACAGAAGCAAAATTAGAAAAAAAGTTGTCTCTGTCCAAATATTTATGGGCTTAACTGTAGTATATCTGTGCATGGATATTAACAGGATTTTTTTTTTTCAGGTTCTTTTTAATGTACCTCATCAACAAAGATGACACCGAGCACACCGGGCCGGTCAGTCTGAAGGTTTTTATTACAGTTTTTCTTTAGTTAGTGTGCTCCATTCAAGGCCTCACATTACCTCTTGTGTTCTTATATCGTGTCTTTTCAGGAGTCATATGTGTGGAAGATGTACCAGGAGCGCTGTTGGGACTTCTTCCCAGCTGGAGACTGTTTCAGAAAACAGTTTGAGGATCAGCTCTCTTAAAATATTTCCTTCAAATATTTTACAAATGAGGTTGTCATGTCACTCATATCACAGCAAACTGGAATTGTCTAGAAAAATCAAGAAAATCCTGTTTGTGAACTATTAAGATGACTATTAATAAAAACTTTAATCATTTCTATGGATAATTAGGAATAAGAAGGGATAATAATTTGCCCTAGAAGGGAAATTCATGCCAGTCTTTTTTGTAAAGTTTAGTCATTTAGCTACTTATTTGTAAAGCTTTGCCTCAGACGCAAATTTAGAGAATTTATGGATTTTGCTCATTAGTTTTCTAATGTCACTCACAGTTAACCTGTTTCAAAGAAAGCAGCTTACCAGTTAATGTGCAGTAACTCAAGCAGACTACCACACATATCACAAATGCGTATTAATTGTACTTACATACTATTCAGTCTCAATTGCTTTTGTGGTTGTGGCATCATTGGAACTTTAGCATATTTATTTGTTAGAACAGCTGATTTTTTCAGTTTTAATTTCTTCACATACTACAGTATTTATGTTGAATTTTATTTACTGTTTTTTTTCCTAAATTAATTTAAAAGTCTGGGATAGTGAAAACATTAGAGTACATTACATTAGGGTAAGCTTGACTGAAATATCACTATTAGTTGATCTTGGACTTGGCATTAAACAGTATGTGTAATAAAGATGAGTTTGATCAGCGGTGACTCTAGTAGCCTTTGTTATTGTATTTAACACAATAAACACACACAAAAATGCAGCAAGCAAAAGCGGCAATTCAAAAAGAATGAAAAAGACAGAAAAATTAAAACCAGGTTAATGTTCACTTTAACCATTTTTAAGCTTTTAAAGTTTCTCAGTTTTATCAGGCACTTCAACATTCATTAGACAGTAATCCTCTTTAGCCTGAAATGATAAATGCATTTATTCGCTGTCACCGAATCCCCAAGTGTGCATCCCACCAGTTAACCTTTACTCTAACTATTTTTCAATGGATGCATTTTACTAGATTATATAATAAAAGTCGATTAAAGGATAACAACATTTAGATTATTTGTTGGCAACTTTGCAAAGTCATTGCAAGTTAGTTTGCATTTCAGCTACTAAAACCAGCTATTTAAAACCCTGGTAGGTTCTAATAAACCTACAATTTTTTTAAATGTGGCCTTTTTTTTTAAGTAAATGTAAGTGCAAAAAAACTATTGTCTGATTAGACACGGGTTGATAAATATTCACAGTTTAAGATGACAATGCACTAAATTGTCCCCAAAACCCCCCAAAATGTCATTATTTTTATTTTCATGACAGCAACAAAACCTCTGGAAGATTAATTATATTGTTGGCTTACTATTCATGGTGTGTATTTAATAAAAGAAATGGATGTCTGGTGATGGTTTGATGATTTAAAATGACTTTCAGTTGTAATATCCATTTGGTGTATGTAAAAGCAAATGGGTATTAAAAACAAACATTCAAAAACAATCGAATCATCCTGATTTACACAGTATCTCTGCACGCACTACAGCACTCTTTGTCTCATCACAGCCCATTTTCATACCATGCTGCTGAACTTTGACTCTGTGGAGCATCCCAGCTGACTGGGGATTAAAGCTGAGCATTAAAAACTCACATTGAGCCTCATGTGCTTTTTCGCCATTCTGTGTGCAAACATTTCTCTCTCAGCCCGTTGGAGTCACACATCGACTGTAAACATGAACATCTCGGGGATACATCAGGGGATGCTCAGGATGTATGGTGAGTTGGATCTTTACCTCAGGTGTGGGTGTTTCTAGTGGTTGGCAAGTGTTGCTTTTTATAGGGCTTATGGTAATTTCCCAGTTTGTTGTGTACTTCCTGTCATGCTATTGCAAATGCAGATTTTGTTTATATATTTATGTATAATTTCCATCATTATCTATCATGGCATGGAGATGGTGTTAAAAAAAGGATGATAAATAGGACAAGTTAGCAATGCTCTTGAGTACAATTTTAATAAGAGAAACCTATCAGTTTTCTCATCTTTGTATCTAATAGCAACCATATTATGAGTTTTTCTTCAAATAAGTACAGACGAATCTATATTTACATTGTTTCACTGAAAATCCAAAGCTGTGACAAATGCTGATAGAAACGTGACCTAAAGCTGTAGTTTGAAAAAAATGCTAAAAAGATGCTTAGACAGTTGGTATTTTAATACCCATATGTTGTTTACCGTTTGCATATAGAACAAGTAAACACAAAGTGTGCGTGCAATTACACTATATGATGTGCACACGGTGGCCAACAGGATCTGATTTATGCTTGATCCTCCAACCATCTGACTGCCTTTAATCTGCTGGGATGATGGAATGACACAGTGTTCATTCTTTAATCCACGTGTACAATGCTCCCTCTGCAATCTTGATCACTCTCAGTATCCTCTGGGGGGTTGTGGTTCTGATTGGAATTGTTTATCACATTGTCATTTTGTCAACAAGCATTTTCTACACAATGACTGTTGACTTTTTCTCTGCATTTCTGGTTCAGGTGGATTTATTTTCAAACAGTGGAAGAAAAGATTTCTCCTTATAACTGCTGAAGGCAGTCTCCTGGTGTGCCATGATGCATCATCCCCTCCCAGCCAGCTGGTACTCTTGCAAAACAGTTGTGAGGCGATTGTGGAAGGCAAAGAGATCTTGGACCTACCTAAATTACCCTCTGGCAGGGGCAGAGATTGCTGCTTTGCTCTGATCCTGCCCCAGAATAAATATCTGCTGCTGCTGGCGGAAACCTCTGCAGAGTGCAGGTGTTGTGGGGCTTTCTCTGCTAACTCTTGGGCCTTGTTTTAGATTAATGCTGCACACATTTAAGTTTAATATAACAAAGTTTGAGTGGTTTGGGGAATATGCCTTTTTGACTATTTTGAAACATATATGTCAGGTGAAAGACACATTAGCTATGCATTCCAAAATTTCCAGCTATTCCATTGTTGTACATGAATTTATGTACATTATGTCTTGCATAAAGGTAATAACAATCGCTTTTTTCACTTTCAGCCATTGGGTGAACGTGCTGAAAAAAGTGAAAAAGGTAAGTTAATAACATATTTATATTATTTATAATTATGTGTAATAATTATTTACCAATAATGTTTACTATGTTCACCATCTATGTTTACCATCATTATTAATAATTGTAATTTGTTATCAAACAAAATAGATGAACTTGGTAGGACCGTCAGCAGGTTTTTTTTTCACATTAATGAAAAAAGAAATGATGTGATGCCCCATGTCAAAGAACATGGGGCATCACACCATGCTTTGTATGGCAGATTGGTCAGAGTAGCCATGGTGACCCCATCTACTTTGGTGCATACCACCTATCAAACCTTCTTGCAGACTATTTACACTCCTGGATGCTGCAGGATTTCCTTAGCCACACTGGAAAAAATGATGAGAAACTTGAAAAAGAGTTCAATGTGCTGACTTGTCCTTAAAATTCCCCAAATCGAGATTCCTGAAGTCAAGTATGTATCTGCAAGCGCTGAAAAAACTAGAGCTTAGAGATACATACTGAAAGCGCCTGCTAGGGCACCTGTGTAGGCAGTCCATGTCACAACGGTCAAAGCTTTTAAAATCAAAAGGGAGACCTACACAATAGACAGGTAGTTTAAATGTTTCTGCCTGGTGTATGTGATTGCTATTCATTAAATGTATGTATCAAAGAGATGTTTAACATAAAACAATGAATGTAGACCTTGTAGTGGTGTTAGAAAGAAGGCTGTGAATCAGTGAGTCAGTAGGGCGAAAAAGTGTGAATATATTTTCAGAAAAATCACTATTAGCATGCAAAATCATATTTTCTGTACACACACAGACTATACACTACACTATGGAGTCTTTGAAAATTAGATTGATTGATTTACATAAAGAATGTGCTCTGCACTTTCAGAGAATCTTTTAATCCTTAGATTTTTTTTTTGGTGTTGTAATCAGTCGATTAATTCATTTCTTTGAATTCCTGGTAGACATTGTGTTGGGAACATTATTTTTCTTTAACAGCATCTTCATTTTCTTTGCCACAGAGTCTCTCATCACCTCTCAGTCCTTGCAAGCGACATCAGATGCCACAACCACGTATTACTCTCCGAGATCTTGTGCCTGAGCAAATCCTGGATAAAGATCCACCAACTCCACCTGTCAGCGACACAGAGTCATCCTCCCCTGGGCCGATGACTGGCGCTTCCCCGAAGGAGAAAGGTGAGCACTGGTGTTTCTTCTATTTTCATGTAAAAAATATTGCATAGATAGTTTATTAAAACATGCTTTTCAAACTTTTCATTTCAACAGGCAGGAATTCTTCCCGTACTAAGTATCATAAAGGAGGTGCATATTCAGCAGGCTGTTTGCGTCACGGCACTATCAATAATGCCCAAGCAATGAAGGCAGTTTATCTGCTGATGGGAGGGGCTGCTGCTTCCTCTGCCATGGGTTATTTAGGCACATGCTCATCTTCTAATCTGGAAGCCAAAGCCCCGGATCTGCCACTCTGCACAGATTTCTCCAGCATGGGACCAGCAGGAGGGTACCACACTGGCACTCCTGCACTCGACTCCCCCCACTTTAACAGTTTTGACTTTGAAGTGGCAGACTCTGATTTTGACGCTTTTGATTGTGGTGGATTTACTTTCTAATAATCTGCTCGTTGGAGACTGTGGATACGGATATATTTAATGGTACTGAACAAGTTGTTCCCACATATTTTGTCAAAATGACAAAACCATGTGAGGATATTTTATTAAGGGATCAATAAAATAACCCTGAACGTCAGTCAGTAAACCTGCAATAATAGCATTGTTGCTCATGGGTGTAGTGGCAGTGAGTGTGAATTCAACACTGACATAAATATGATGTGCATTTAGGCAATAATACTGAGGTTCATCATTTTATTGTTGTGTTATTTTGTCACTATCATTTATCATAAAAAACATCAATTACAGCAACTTTAATAACACATGTGACTCCATCCTGTGGAAGAATATTGTGTGCTGTTTTGGTTTAAATGTTCCTCTGTGTTTAATGGAGGCTCTGGATATTATGGTTACTAATTGAAGACTGATAGCATGATACACTTAAGTACCATTTGTGCGTAGTGTTGAAAGAGTCTTAAAAATTATGTAATAACCCAGATTGGATTAAAATCCATCTGTAATAGATACATTGACAGTGTTCAGCTTTTGACCGAGGACAAACAACTAGAGCTCCCCTTAATCTTTTTTCAAGTACTGTGTTCCTTTCAAACATTCAGCTGTTAATTGTCCTTGGATTTATGTTGCATTCAAAGTAATTCTGTCTGAGTTCATTTCCTTTAAATGAATAAAAGCTTTGTGTGGAAATGTGTTTTACTTGTTCTCTTTGTGCAGTTAGTTACTAACCACCTAAACTGAATTTCTTGCAAATACTTTTAATAAAGAATATCCATTTTGCATTCAACTGAAACCAAGAAACTCAATAAAAGCCAAATTAAATTGAAATTAAAACAAAAAAAGGAGCAGGGAATGAAAAAAGACAATAACCCCCCACCCCAAATGGGGATACATATTATCACACTATGCAGTAGAGTAACATTAAACTAGTTTAATACTGTGTGACTGGCAGTTTGGTAATACCTGAACTAAAGCTATGTCAGAGGACACCTGATGGTGTGACACATAAGGCAGGAGTGAGGTCCCTGCTCACAACGTGCTTCTTATAAGTTATAACCAGTGTTGGGTAAGTTACTTTAAATTAGTAACTTAGTTACATTACTAGTTACTTCTATCAACAGTAACTCAGTTACTTCAAGTTACTCGTTACTTTCAAAGTAACTAGTTACTAGGGAAAGTAACTTTGGTTTTACTCAGAATTCTCTTGTTAATGTGTTGCTTCCATAACTTTGACAGTCTTCTAGCTTGCTTACTTGCAACAAGTGCACTGTGCCACCTACCAATAGAAAAAATAATAATAACGTGCATATTTCCACGCGAGAAATCCCACGCCTGGACCGTCGTTGACCGCGGCCATGATTCTAGCCTACGTCACAGCATCTTGTGCGCTTTTTACATCCAACACAAAAACTGCAGTCGTGATGCTTTTGATTGTACTCGGAAATTCTGACTTCCGAGTAGGAAGATGTAGGCAACACCAGACTGCAGATGAGCTGCATACAGGGCTGGACTGGGACAAAAAATCATCCCGGGCATTTTGACTAGAGACTGGCCCACCATTATAGCAAAAATCATAAAGCCTTTGAATGAAAACAAACGCTGTTGTGACAGTGACGTTCACTGTCTTGATGGTATATATGCATCAATCTATCAATCGTTTGTTGTAAGATTCAGATAATTATTTTTTAAAAGCGAGACATTTTAAATGACATAACAAAGAAAAGTATTTCTTTGTGCCCCCCTCTCCCTGTTAATGCCCTACCTGCCGCCCTGGCAACACTTTGCTAGATCCGCCCCTGCACAGTTACCAGCTGTCAGCTACATAGAAAAGGATCCTGGTGTTATTTCTCAGAAACAGTTCATAACTTCCCTTCAACTCATTTATGTGACCTAAAAGGTAGACCTGTTCAGCTCTGATGATTCAGTAAGGACATCTCCTGGTTTCATC